CACAGTACTGTTTGAATTTTTTATAGACTCTGAATATTAGTCCTTTGTCAGATGCATAGCTTGCAAATATTTTCTCCAATTCTGGCTGTTGCCTATTTACTCTAGTCAGAGCAATCAGGCAAGAGAAAGAAATATAAGGTGTTCAAATAGGAGAAGAGGAAGTTAAATTATCTCCTTTTGGAAATGATATGATTTTATATCTAAAAAACCTAAACATTCCAAAAAGTATTCCTACCACTTATAAACAATTTCAGGAAAGTCTTGGGATACAGATATACAAATTCAACCCTCAAAAATCAGTTGCATTTCTATAAACCAACAATGTTTAAGCTGAGAACCAAATCAAGAATGAAATCTCATTTACAGTAGCCACCAGAAAAAAAAATAGCTTGGAATACATCTAACCAGAGAGGTGAAGATCTCTACAATGAGATCTACAAAATACCATTTAAATCAAATATGACACACACAAAAATACGACACAAACAAAAAAATAAAATATGACACAAACATATTACAGGCTCACGGACTGGACAAATCAATATTGTTAAAATGTCCTTACTGCCTAAGCAATCTACAAATCAATGCAATCCCTATCGAGTTACTAGAATTATTTTTCACAGGTATACAAAAAAAAATACTATAATTCATATGGAATCAACAGCCTAAATAGACAAAGCAATCCTAAGCAAAAAAGAATAAAACCAAAGGCCTCACATTGCCACACTGCCAAATTTGCTACAAGCCTACAATATCCAAAGCCGCATGGTATCTGTATAAAAATATACATGTAGACCAATGGAACAGAATAGAGAACCCAGACATAAAACTTCTGTCTTATAACCATCTAATCTTTGACAAAGTCTACAAAACAAACACTAAGCAAGATCCCCCAATTTAACTAAAAATGCTGGGAAAACTGGCATATCATATGTAAAAGGATGAAACTGGACCCCTTCTACTCACCATATATAAAAATGAACTGAAGATGGATTAATGACTTAAATGTAAGACCTCAAATGAAAATCCTAGAAGACAGCCTGGTAAACACTCTTCTAGACATCAGCCTTGGCAATGATTTCATAACCAAGACCTCAAGAGCAAATTCAGCAAAAACCTAAATTGACAAATGGGACCCAACCAAATTAAAGAGCTCTGGTACAACAAAAGAAACCATAAACAGAGTAAACAGACAACAGCCAGAATTGGAGAAAATATTTGCAAGTTATGCATCTGACAAAGGGCTAATATTCAGAATCTATAAAAAATTCAAACAAATGAACACGAAAACATAAAATAAGCCCTTTAAAAAGTGGGCAAAGGACATGATAGGACACTTCTCAAAGTAAGGTGTACAAGCAGCCAATAACATAAGAAATGCACAACATCTTCCTAACCAGAGAAGTGAAAGACCTTTACAATGAGAACTACAAAACACCACTCAAACAAATCCAAGAAGATACAAACAAATGGAAAAATATTCCATGCTCATGGGTAGGAAGAATCAACATTATTAAAATGTCCATCTTACTGAAGGCAATCTACAGATTCAACGCAATACTCATTAAGTTACCAACATCATTCTTCTCAGACCTGGAAATGACAATACAGAAATTCATATGGAAACATAAATGACCTTAAGTAGCCAAAACAATTCTTGGCAAAAGAAACAAAGCAGAAGTTATCACACTTCCAGACTTCAAACTTTACTATAAGTCTGCAGTAATCAAAACAGTCTGATAATGGCTCAAGAACAGGCATATAGAACAATGGAAAAGGATAGAGATTCCAGAAGCAAAGCCTCAAGTCTTCAACCAACTCATCTTTGACAAAGCCTTCAACAACAACCACTGGGGAGAGGAGGAGAACCTATTCAGTAAATGGTGCTGGGAAAACTGACTGACCACATACAGAAGATTGAAACAGGACCCCTACCTATCACCATACACAAAAATTAGCCTAAATGGATCAAAGACCTAAATGTAAAACCTCAAACTATAAGAATCTTAGAAGACGCAGGAGACACCTTTATGGAAACTGGAACTGGCAACCAGTTCCTATTCAGAATCCTAAAGGTCAATAACTTAAGAAATAAGATATATAAGAGGGACCTAATCAAACTAACAAGCTTCTACAAAACTAAAGAAACCATCAAGAGAGCAGGGAGACAGCACACAGAATGGAAAAAATATTTGACAACTGTATATCTGACAAAGGCCTGACATCTAGGATCTATAAGGAACTCAAATGTGCCAAAAGAAAAAAAACAAACAACCTCACTAAAAAGTGGGCAAAATACATGAATAGACACTTCTCAAAAGAAGATATACAGGCAGCCAACAGACACATAAAAAAGTGTTCAGCCTCACTCACCATCAGGGAAACACAAATCAAAACCACATTGAGATACCACCTAACCCCAGTAAGAATAGCCATCATTAATAAAACAAACAACAACCAATCATGGCGAGGATGTGGAGAAAAAGGAACACTTCTATATGACTGGTGAAAATGCAAACTAGCACAACTTCTCTGGAAGACAGTGTGGTGATTTCTGAAAGAACTAGAAATTGACCTTCCATATGACCCAGCAATTCTCCTATTGGGAATATACCCACAGGAACTCAAATATTCTACAAAAAAGATACCTGTACACATATGTTTGTTGCAGTTCTATTCACAATAGCAAAAACATGGAACCAATTGTATTGCCCATAGAACCTGGACTGGATTTTAAATGTGGTACACATACACAATGGAATATTATGCAGCCATAAAGAAAGACAAACATATGGACTTCTGCAGCAACTTGGATTGATTTGAAGTCGATCTTACTTAGTGATCTTTCACAGAAACAAAGAACAGATGTTCCTACTCATAAGCGGAACTTGAACAATTATAATACTATAAGAAAGCATTTGGCAGAAGTGAGAAACTGTCAGGGGAGGAGGGGATTGGCAGTTGAGGGAAACTGCTAGGGGAGGGAGGCACTTACCTCATCAATAAGGGTACCTGCATAATCAACGTTTGTATAACTAACACTGAATTGTACCCCACATCTTTATAATAAAAAATGGTCAGCATCACTACTCATCAGAGATATGCAAATCAAAACCACAATGAGATACCATCTCGCATGAGTCAGACTGGCTATTACTAAGAAGCCAAAAAACGACGTTTCCAAGGTTGTGAATAAAAAGGAGCACTCATACACTGTTGGAAAGAAGGCAAGCTAGTGCTACCTTGTGGAAAGCAATTTGAAGTTTTCTCAAATAAATAAAAACAAATTTACTATTTTCCCAAGCAATCCCACCACTGAGTATATACCCAAAAGAGGATAAATAGTCCTACTAAACAGACACTTACTCTCATATGCATGTTGTAGCATTACCTGTAACACCAAAAAACATGGAGTCGACCCAGGTGCCCATCAATGGTGTACTAGATAAAGAAAATATTGGTACTTATACACCAGGGAATAAAATGCAGGCATAAAAAAGAACAAAATCATGTCCTTTATAGCAACATCTGGATGCAACTGAAAGCACTCAGTCTAAGAGAATTATCCCAGAATCAGAAAACTGAATACCACATGTTGCACTTATAAGTGGGAGGTAAACACTGAATAAACAGGGGTATAAGGATGAGAACAACAGACACTGGTGACTTCTAAAGAAGGGAGGTAGTAGGGCACAAGTTGAAAACCCACCCATTTGGAACCATACCCACCACATGGGTGACTAGTTCAGTAGAAGCTCAAGCCTCACTATTATGCAATATACTTATGTTATAAACCTATATATGCATTCCTTGAATCTAAAATACAATAATTCTTGAGTGATTTAATAAATAAAATGTAAAAAAGTAAATAAAAACCTGTTTTGAAATACTAAAATTTAGATTATTGGCATAATATTTCAGCATACCACATGCATCACCTCATTGATTTTATTGGAGTGCCTACCCATCACTCTTGGTCACCAATGATGTGACAGTCATTCTTTGGCACTCACAAGCCTACAACTCACAGAATTCAGGAGGCACTGAGCCTGGAACCCTTGGAGAAGTTGTACAATGCTGTTTCCCATATCTACACCTTCAAACAGGCTGGATCCCATGAAACATTTTCCTCAGCTCCCATAGATAACTGCTAAGGTTTTGATGTCTCTCCAAATCACAATTTGAAAATATTTTTGCCTATAATTTATTTATTTTTATTTATTTTTACTTTTTTCTAATTTTTTATTTTAAAGGTGTGAGGTACAATTCAGGGTTAGCTCTACAAATGTCCACTATGCAGGTACCCTTGTTGATGAGGTGTGCCTCCCACCCATGGCATTTTCCCACTTCTGCCAATTTCCCTTTCTTATAGTATTATGATAATTGTTCAAGGTCTTGAAATTGTATTAAGAGATTGGACTTTTAAGAGATGGGAGATGACTCTGCACTCATGAATGAATTAATGGTGAAATCAGAGTGTGTTAGTTATCATGGGATGTGCTCCAGATAAAAGGATAAAGTTCAGCCCACATACTCTCTCTGTATTGTGTCTTCCCTTCCACTTTCCACCAGGGGACTGATGCAACATATAGTCCCTGGCCAGATGATGCAGCAATGCTATTGGACCTCCCAGTCTCCAGACTCATGAGTCAAATTAACATCTATTGTTAATACATTAACCAATCTGTGATTTTTTTATAGCAGCAGAAACGGGACTAAGACAGTAACTATTCTTATCCTTCTAAACCACATGTAGTGGCACCATATTTCTAAACCCTGGCCTGAAATACCCCAGGTTTGATGCAGATGTCACACCTACATCTTATACGAAGCACTCAGTGCTGACAAAGTAGCCCACACCACACAGACTGTACTTCTCCATTGTGTGTTTATGTCCCTGAGGACTAAAGTAGCCATGGGACACTGTGACTTGCAATAAATATTTGTTAATATGCTGATGAAAATACCCACTAGTAAAGAAATCTGTGAAACGGAGGCACTCACCTGTCTGATAGATGGCCACATAGAATGCCTCCCACCACCATTCCAGCCATGAATAGAAATTTTGTCACTGAATTCAGTGATTGAGATTCACACACCAGGTCCCACTAGAAAATAATAAAAGCCAGCATATTAGAACTTCATGGCAGCTTATAATCTCTCAGTGCAACCTGATCAAACCTCCATAATATGACTTGGATGTTTCATTATATCAGACTTCTGTGCATTACCTGAACTTTACCCCCTGACCTTGTTGAATTAAGACTCCCCCCACTTAAAAATTAAAAAATACCAAATGCATTTAATTCTACCATGACTGGAAAAGAGGGTATATGGCCCGTTACCATCAAGATGTCTTATTTAAGAGGAACGAGTGGGCAATCTTAGTTTTATGGCCCTTAAATAAGAACAAGATGCCAGGTATAGTTTCATATTAGCTACCACCAAGTTTTATGGACCCAGAGCAAGAAGAGGGATCTGAATTGGATGGGTTTGCTGGTTTCACAGAGGATGGTAGTGCCCAAGTATAATGGTAAGTGATAGTCATGTGGAAGAGAGTTGGTTTAACTGTAATGGTGTATGTCTGATAACACACTGGGTATCCTATGTGATTGCATGGATGAATAGTGCTTGTTGAATAGTCCTGGTAGAAGTAGCTTTCTAGTTGATTAAGGTTTTCTAGTCTAGAAGAATTGATTTGTTTGTATGTGCTTATATGCATGGGGAAAGTAGGTTAATGCACAATTAAACATACATGTCTTATGTAAGGTTATACATATATACATAGTACTAATACATATTCATGGGGGGAATAAAATGCACGATATACATATGGACTTAGTACAATTTTATTAATACTGACATACTAATCAAGAATAATTGTACTATACAAGCACACAGGGAATAGTTTATGGAGAACTCCAGCTTTGGGGGCTGGTGTAAGCCTCTTCCTTGAAGTGGGGTCCTAGGGAGCTTGTTTCCTTCATTTTTGGTTTGCAAGACCAAAGTAATAGTTATACTATGAGTACTTATCATTTGAGCATTTTATTCTTGATCAGGTTAGTTAGAGGCATAAGGACTATGATAACTAGGAAGTATAGGATGGAGGCTGTTTGGTCAATGATGATGAATGGGTGTTCAACAGGTGACCTCCAATTCACGTGAGTGCTAGTAGGTCAGCTACCAGAATTCAGAATAAGCATTGGCTTAGTGGTCAAAAGATTATACTTAGTTGTTTAGATGTGTGGAGTATTGGGATAATAGCAAGGATTAAGATAGATAGTACTAGGGCTAGGTCACCTCCCAGTTTATTAGGGATAGACCATAAGATTGCATAAGCAAATAGAAAGTATCATTCTGGTTTGATATGGGGTGGGATGTTAAGGGGGTTGGCTGAGGTGTAGTTGTCTGGGTCCCCCTAGTAGGTCTGGTGTGAACAGGACTAGAGTTATAAGTAGGAGTATAAGGATTACTAGTCCTAGGATATCTTTAATTGTGAAGTAGGGGAAGAATGGAGTTTTATCAGAGTTGGAGGAAATTCCTGATGAATTGTTAGATCCGGTTTCATGGAGGAATAGGAGATGGACGATTACAAGGGCTGCTACTATGAAGGGCAGGATAAAGTGGAAGGTGAAGAATCATGTTAGGGTAGCTTTATCAACTGAAAAGTCCCCTCAAATTCATTTGACTAGATCAGTGCCGATATAAGGAATAGCTGATACGAGGTTGGTAATGACGGTAGCACCTCAGAATGATATCTGTCCTCATGGAAGGACATAGCCTATGAATGCTGTTGCTATTACAGTGAATAGTAAGAGGATGCCAATATTTCATGTTTCTAGGAAGGTGTAGGAGCCATAATATAAGCCTCAGACTACATGCATGAATAAGCAGATAAAGAATACAGAATCTCCGTTTGCATGTATACATCCGATAATTCAACTGTAGTTTACATCTCGGCAGATGTGTGTTATGAGGAAAGTGAGGTTGTTGTGTCTGATGTGTAGTGATTTGAATTCCTAGGCAAACTCCTAAGAGGGAGCCGAAATTTCATCATGCAGAGATGTTGAAGGGTGAAGGGAGGTCAATGAATGAGTGAGTAATGATTTTTTTGAGGGGGTGAGTTTTTCGCATGTTAGTCATTAGTTCTTGTAGTTGAATAACAATGATGATTTTTCAGGTCATTAGTCATGGTTTATGTCCATGTGGGAATTAATGATTTACGTTGTGTTTTTATTGAGTATAATTTTTTTAATCAATATTTTTTATTTTGATATTGTGAGTTACAGTTAAGGGTTAGGTATACAAATATGCTTCATTCAGGCCCCCTTGTTGATAACAGGTGTCTCCCTGTATCCAGACAGATGTTTCCTAACCTTAGTCCCACCCCCATAGTTTCCCAACACTGTCAGTCGTTTTCTTATAGTAGTGCCTAGGATGACCAAAGTCCACTATATGAGTGAGAATATGTGATACTCAGATCTTTGTTTCTGTGAGAGGTCACTTAGTATTATAGACTCCAGCTCCACCAGGTTGCTGTAAAATTCATGATTTTGTTCTTTTTTATGGCTGCATAGTATTCCATCGTGTATATGTATCACATTTTTTGAATCCATTCCTCTTTTGATGGACAGCGTGGTTAGTTCCAGATTCTTGCTATTGTGAACAATGCTCCAATAAACATTCGTGTGCAGGTATCTTTTTAATAGAGTGATTTGAGTTCTTCAGGGTATATTCCCAGTAGGGAGATTGCAGGGTCACATGG